TTTATTATATATAGCTCAATTTATTATTAGTTGATTATGACCTCAAAAAGTGACCTCAGGTTAAATGCATATCTTAGTAAGAACATAGGGGTTCCTTCAGATACTGTCACCCTACTAAATCTGGCTGGTTGGCTTTTAAGTGAATTTTCATTTTATTATACTTTCCCTCCACTTATAACCAGGACCTTCTATTGAGTGGTTGGGACTGGTAGTCAGGAACCATCTAGTTCTTCCAGCCTGAACCTGGAATAGACTGTGTTTTGCAGGGCCCATTAGTACTGTGGAATCATTATTTCCTTTGGTTTCCTTCACTTTCCTTTGCTCCAGACTGGAATCAATCAAAAGTTGTTATCTTAGATGGCTACTGTTAAGCTTTTAGGACTTAAGAGTCTATTCAACAAACTAGGATGTAGAATGCTTCCTTTCAGGAACTATTTTATGCCAGTTGATCTAGAAGTTCCCCCAGACTCTGATCCTTAACCTTTAGGCCTAGTAACTGGGTCTAATGAGGGGTTTGCATTTGTCTAAGAAGTCTGTGATCTATTAAACAGGAACACACACAGAACACATATGAATGCACACACACATGCCCACAGCTCTACATACATGTACATGTATTTCCTTCTACCCTCCCACTGAAAGTATAGTTTACATATTTTTGGTTGTTACAGCTGTTGTTGTAGAATTGTAAATGGTATATTATTCAGTGTCACTCACTCATTGCTGTTGAGTCAGAACTGATTCACACTTGACCCTCCAGAGGATTTTTCAGAGGCTGTAAATCACATGGGAGGAGATTAGCCATCTTTGCCTCATGGAACTGCTGGTGGATTTGAACTGCCTGCCTTTAGGTGGGCAGCATCCTCTAGGCCCCAGAGCTCCCTTATCATTTACTGTAGCTGCCCTTTGTTCTTGCATACCTCACAGTGTCTTCATTTACTTTGGTTATGTTGTATTGACATCCTCTAGTCCTTGGAAAGGGATCATGTGTAGAAAGATGGAAGGTCAGTGAAGGAGAGGAAGACCCCCAAGAGGATGACTTCCGAAATGGGCTCTAGTGTGTCAGAGATGATGGGGACAGCACGGGATAGGGCAGGGTTCAGGTTGGCTGTTCATAGAGTTGTGATGAGTCATACTTGTTGGCACCTGCCAATAACATAGTTTGTGTAAAAGGAGCTCTAGTGGCCTAGGAGGTAAGAAACTGCATTGCCAACCGAAGAACCATGATTCAAATCCACCAGCAGCTCCACGGGAGAAAGATGGGCTTTCTACTCCCATGTGACTTATTGTCTGTGAAAGCTGCTAGGGGGTTAGCTCTTACTTGGTTGGACTCTGTGGCGTGTAAGAACAACATATTGTGTATTGAGTTTTGCTTCACCATAAACACTTACTGTCTAAGTTTATGACTCTCCATCTTTCCTCCTCCCAACCCTGGTAACCATCAAAGAACTTTGCTTTCTGTGTGTAACCATATTCTTCACTTTTTATAAAAATGGTATCATGCAGTATTTGTCCTTTTCTAATGGGCATATTTCACTCAACATAATATCTTCCAGATTCACTCATGTTACATTTAATGAATTCATCATTATTCTTTATTATCATATAGTATTTTGTTTTATGTTCTCATCACACTTTATTCATCCTTTAATGGGCACTTAGTTTGTTCCATTTTTTTTGCTATTGTGAATAATGCTACAGTGAACAGTGTTATGTATATGTCTGTCTGTGTTGGTGCTCTTATTTCTGTAGAATATATACCTGGGAGTGGAATTGCTAAACTAAATGGCATTTCAGTATCTGGCTTTTTGAGGAAATAGTATACTGGTTTCATAATGGCTGTATCATTTTAAAATCCTACCATCTGTTCCAAGGAGAAGGAGAGGTAATTTTTTTATGCGATTTTCTGCCTCTGAACAGAGGGTCAGCTAGGAGTTGATTCTGACTGGACAGCACACAACAGCAACCACAAACAACAGTATTTAAGAGTTCCAGTCTGACCACAACCTCACCAGCAATTGTTATTTTCTTTTCTGTTTTTGTTGTTATTGTTATTTTAAACTCCTGCCATTTTTTGTAAGGGTGAGATGAATTGTAGTTTTAATTAGCATCTCTCTAATGGCTAATATCAGAAGCATTTTGTATGTTTTTTAGTTGCCTGAGTATCTTCCTTGGTGAAGTGTCTGTTCACGTCCTTTGTCCATTTTTTATTGAGTTGTTTGTCTTATTGTTAAGATGTTAAAATTTTCTGTATATTTTAGAGTTTAGAAACTTGTTAGATGTGTAGCTGCCAATTCTCCCCCTCCGCCCCCCACACCAGGCTGTAGATTCTCTTTTTATGCATATGGTAAAGTCCTTGATGAGCAAAAGTATTTAATTTTTAGACGGTCTCAGAAATCTAGTTTATCATGTGGTATTTGTGCATTTCTAGTTATATTTATAGGGTTCTTAAGGAACTCTGGTGGCCTCGTGGCAAGAAGCTGCACTACATTCCCAAAGGTACTTAGTTCAAATCCACCAGCTTCTCTGCAGGAGAAGGAGGTGCATCTCCTCCCGTGTGATTGACTGTCTCTGAAAACTAGCTTGAAGGTCAGCAGTGGGACAGTTCCACCTCAACAGTTCCTACTCGACAGTACGTAGCAACAACAACATAGGGTACTTACAATATATGTTAGGGCTGCTAGCTTTGCCCCTTTGTTATCTTCCAGGGACTTTATCATTTAGGTTTAACATTGAGGTCATTGATGTATTTGGGTTAAGTTTAGTGTTTGGATCCTGTATCAATTTCCTGTAAGCAGATAGCCAGTTTTGTCAGTACTATTTCTTCGTGACTGTTTCTTCCATCATTGAATAGACTTCGATCTTTTGTTGAAGATCAGTTGTTTTTAACTGGATGGATTTGCTTCTCCATTCTCAGTTCCCTTCCACTTGTCTCTCTGTGTGTGTCATTATACCAGGCGGTTTCGACCACCGTGGCCAGATAGTATGTTCTGAGGCTTGGAAATGTGAGGCCTCCTCCTTTGTTGTTCTTTGTTAAGGCTCTAGCTATCTGCATGTTTTTTCTTTACCACAAAAAGTTGGAATTCATTAGGTTTTTTTGTTTTGTTAAGGAATGTTAGGATTTGCATTGAGATTGCATTACGTTTATAGATCTCTTTGGGCAGTATTGACATTTTCACAATAGTAAATCTTCTAATCCATGAGCATGACTTTTTTGTAGGCCTCTTTGGTTTCCCGTAATCATAAGTATTTGGTACTTTTTTTTATATGTCTTTCACCTTCCTGGTTAGATTTATTCCTAGGTTGAGTTGTTTTGAAACTCTCTTGCTTTTCAGGAATTCTAGAAATGTCTGTATGTGTATACACACACATACACAACTATTTATATATAGTTGTAAATGTTACACACTAGATTTTAACATACTCAAGATTTCTAATGAGTCATCTTCTCCCTGCCAGCTAGTCTGTATGTCTGGAATTTGATCCTGCTAAAGCCAAGATGGGGTCCTATGTAAGAGTTAGTCCTTGGAGAAAAGGTTCTGCGTGAATATAGCTTGGAAATCATGGTCCTTCCCTTGCCTTTTTGGGCTCCCCTCCTCTTGCAGATTGGATTGGCTCGCCATGAGGAACAGACACCATCCGGGCTGAGCTGAGAGCTGTGTGCGGCTGGTGTTTGAGTGGCCCCGGCTGTTCTCCAGCTGTATCCACTTCAGATGGGTTTCTACTGGGCAGCTGCAATTCCTCTTTTATAGGAAAGAGGGAGCTTCCAGGGAGGTGGGCTGCAGCTGTGAGCTGAGAGATGGTGTCATCGTCAAGAGGCCATTGAAATGTCCTTGAGTGATCATGGGCCAAGTCCTGTCCTGTGTGGGTCCAGAATCACAGAATGTTCCAGCCCTGCTCTCTGTACTGAGACTGTGTGGGCTAGGGTGGACTCAGACAGCTCATGTTCTGAAAGCTTAACCGTCTGCACTACCCAGACCTTCAAGCCTTTTTCTAAATCATTTTATGATCGAGACCCGGAGAAGAAAAGCAGCTTGCCCAAGGTGACAATGCCAATTTGAATTCATGACCGAGTGTCAGCTAGAGTGCACCTGATATGAAGAGCGGGCAGGGTTTCCTACTACCAGACTCAGCTGTTACTCAGAAAGATAACAAAGGAATGTGTTCCCAACTACCTTTAGAATGGGTCAAACATTATTCATTTCATGCTGGCCTGGAACCAGAAATGAAAGTCACCTTATTCCAGTCCTGTCCCCTCGCCCCCTTGGTCAGTGTGGAGGTAGATACCATGTTAGGGAGAAAAACAAGAAGCAGTGAGCCCCAGAGAATCACTTTCCATTCAGGAGACAGGGAGGGGCACCTAGACTATCCTTGTTAGGGATCTGCCTTTTCTCAGTGACTAGAGTTCTAGACAGAAAGGTTTGTTTTTCTACAGTACTCTTACCATGGGGTGTGTGCTCAGCTCCTCCTTGATTTGTGGGAACAGGAAGCCCAGGGCTGTCCTAGAGATGATGTTAGGGGAGCCACATTTGAAGAGTCCCGGGCTCCACCAGCCCTCTGCTTCAGGACAGAACGATTCATTTCAGCCAGATTGGGAACATGGTTGCTTTTATGTGTTCTTATGTGAAACTATGCCAAGGATTCGACTTTTCCTGTTCGTTTTATTAAAAACTTTATAAACAGCATTAATAAATAGATATAAAACTGTCACATAAATGACAAACAGTGATACTAAATGATTTTCCCAAGGGTCAGCCATTGAATAAGTAAGGAAAACTCATTCCTGCACGATCAAATTCCCATATATGTAAATTAGGGATGTTGCTCTACCGCTGAGCGTTTTAATTAATATTTATAAATCACACAGCGCCTCTGAAAGGGCTAGTAAGCTATTTATATTATTATCATGTCATACAAATAGTAAGCTCCTGGGAGGTGGCTGCCTGTTTTGCATTTTGGTGTGAGAAGTAAGTATGTGTGCTGTGTGTCTTTGTCCATAGGTGTGGTGTCAGCACAGCGGCAGGTCACCGTCCAGGAAGGACCCTTGTACCGCACGGAGGGCTCCCACATCACCATCTGGTGCAACGTGAGCGGCTTCCAGGGACCTTCGGAGCAGAATTTCCAGTGGTCCATTTACCTGCCCTCTGCCCCCGAGCGTGAGGTGCAGATCATCAGCACCATGGACTCGTCCTTCCCTTATGCCATCTACACCCAGCGGGTCCGCAGTGGGAAGATCTATGTGGAGAGAGTGCAGGGAAACTCGGCTTTACTGCACATCACCGACCTGCAGGCCCGGGATGTGGGAGAGTACGAATGCCACACGCCCAACACGGATGAGCGATACTTCGGGAGTTACAGCGCCAAGATGGATCTAGTGGGTAAGGAGACACTTCACACGTGGCCAAGGCCCTGCCTGTGTCCCTCTTTCTGTTCTGCACCTTTGCTTTGCGTTTGACTCAAAAAACACTCACTCACAATTTTCCCAGGTATTCTGAGGTCAGTGTAGCATACAGCGAACAAAATCTATATTAGCTTGTAAATAAAAGACTGAGGTTGAAACTTAAGAGGGACTGACTGTAGGTATTGAGAATTTCAAGGAGGGCTAATCTAGCTGGTCAAGGTAATATGAAAGTATAAGGCAGGGGTGTTTGTGGTAGGTGGGCTGCAGAAATGATGAGAGAGATGAAGAGGATGGCATTAGCTGTAAGAGAGGTGAGGTTCTAGAGACAGGCTTTGATGTGGATGGCATACCATGCATTCAGCAAGTGAATTGCCTGGACCTGCATTGAATTAGCAGGTCCTTTGGCTCTATGAGGAAGGAACTGTGAGCTCGCTTTTCCTCTGTCCTGTGACATGCCCTACGTGTGGGAATGTGAGAGGCAGTAGGGAGCTTGCCACAGTGTTCCCAAAGTGAAAGTGTTCAAAGATAACGAGTTTTTTTTTCTCTCCTTTCCTCCCCAGTTCTTAATTTCACATGGTGTTTTTTTGTTTTGTTTTCAAATTTAAGTGGTGATATGAGTAAGTATTGACAACTCTTTGATTAATACAAACACTGTCCTTGGTGCAATTTTCCTTTCTCTGACAAACTGGCATCATAGTAGGAAGCTTTTAACATCATTCCAGCAGGAATCCTTTGAGGTCCAAACAATTCATTATTTCACCCTGTGCTGATACAAGTACAGTGAGAAAGCACACACCATAGTCTTACATGCATTGCCCCCATCAGTCAGAGAGAGCTTGCTGTTTTATTTCCAGAAAGATGGTAAGGATCAGAGAAAAATTCCAACCAAGAGACACAGGGGAAATCTGATCCACTTGTCTCACTAAATCTCCATGCTGTAGTGCAGTGTAGCCCACTTTGACAAGTGAATTGTATTGAAGTCAAACATTTAAAAATAGGGGATGATGAGTCTTCCCTGTGCCATATGTTTTTAGTTCTCTTTCTTAGAGCATTGAATTCTAAAGTAAGCAGTGAATTGAGGGAGGGAAAGGAAGGAGATGAGGAAGTTGTAGAAACATGTGAAAAGTTCTAGGAGCTGTTTCCATTTAACATTAGAAATTGTCTTACTACAAGTAGGTGGCTCTAGAGAAAGGATGTTATTGTTCAAGAAGCTAAAAGCCCACATTTAGGGTGTAGATCATAGAGGAAGACATTCTGCCAGCTCTCAAAGAAGATCTTTCAGTGAGAGACCTTTCAATGTCTTTAATTCCTGCATTCCTCAGTTTCTTGGTTCCTTCACATGAAGTCTGTTTTCCCCCCCCTCTGTTTATAGTTGCTTCTGTCTGCTCTTTTTATAATATAGAAGCGATTAGGTCTAGGACATATTCTAAGCTGATAATGCTTAATTATCATAACAGAGAAAACCCTATTCTCAAACTTGACGATGTCTGACTTAATGGAGGGGTTAAGATTACAACGTATTTGAGATAGATACTCTGTAAGTGACAGGGAGACGGCCAAGTCTGACCTCTTATACTTCATAAAGGGTAACAGTCCCCATCAGCAGCATCCACAGTACAAATCTAGTTCTCATAAGGTCAAATGTGGCCGTTATGTTCCCACATCTGCTTCTACTAATTCCAACACCAGTTGTACTTCTCTGCTAGAATACTGAAGCGAGTCCAAAATCTGTTACAAGGGCCACACATTTCATAGACTCATACTCAGGGTTATGGGGTTTATTAAGGAGGTTAACAGGTTACAATTAAGTTTGGCAGCAGAGTAAAATTCCAGCCAACTATGACATCTCCCTCAGTCCTCCAGAAAGCTTGGGTGAAGGAACTGGGCTCTGGTTCTATGAGGTACAGTCCCAAGTCAAATCTCCTTCATCTTGGTGTCTGGTTCTCTACTGAGGCAGCTGTTCTCACATCAAGGTTTCCGTCTCACTAGCAGAGGCATTTCTGGCCCCAAAGGATGGACACTGTTTACTCTGTATCTTCTTCTTTGCTGTTAATGACATTCTCACCTTCAGTGCCAAACCTGCTCAGTTTTACTTAGTGGATGGGTAGAACTGACCAGTCACATTATGATTTGTTTATCTCTGCACATATGACTAACTGCCTTTGGAAACCCACTGGAGGGTCACCTATGGGTCAGTTTCCAGGTGATGGCACACAGCAACAACAACAACTCACAAACATGGTGAAAGTCAAAGTTGATGGCTAGGAATAGCATTTTGAACAATATATCCCTGACTTCACATGGACTCACAATTCACTTCACAACAGACGTGAAATTAAAATGTGTAGAGCTGTACCAAAATAAAACTCTTATTTCACCTAAGTGAAAATTCGTGTGTAATATTTTCCAGAAATTGTTTATTATGCATTATGAAATGCAACCCAAAGTTTGTCAAAATATTAAAGAATCAAGCAGGTGAGTACTAAAAAGTGTATTGTGAGATCAAATAGAAAACGCTTTCAGAGTGTGTACCCTTTGGAGATGACTGTGACCCTGCAGGGATTCTTAAAGACTGACTGTGTAAGGGCCACAGTAATGGTGAATCGACTTGGAGAGGAAGCTCTATTCCCTGTAATTCCTGATTCTGTGACAGTCCTTTCTTGACTTTTTTCTCTGTTGCTGTTGCAGTGATCCCTGACACTCTGCAAACCACCGCCATTCCCCAGACTTTGCACAGAGTGGAGCAGGACCCTCTGGAGCTGAGCTGTGAGGTGGCCACCGAGACATTCCAGCACAGCCACCTGTCTGTGGCCTGGCTCCGACAGAGAGGCAGCGAGAGGCCCGTGGAGGTCATTTCCCTGAGCCGAGACTTTGTGCTCCACTCCAGCAGCGAGTACGCCCAGAGACAGAGTCTCGGGGAGGTGCGACTGGACAAGCTGGGGAGGACCACGTTCCGCCTCACCATCTTTCACCTGCAGCCCTCCGACCAGGGCGAGTTCTACTGTGAGGCTGCCGAGTGGATCCAGGATCCGGATGGGTCATGGTACGCCATGACGCGGAAGCGTTCCGAAGGCACTATAGTCAACGTCCAGCCCACTGGTCAGTGTCTTTGGGTCTCTTGTTTCTGCATACCTGGTGAGGAGGGTCGTAAGATACCGGGAGGTCTAGGAGTTCCTCCTTTGGAGATTTCTAAAAATAGAATGGATTTTCATGTGAAGTTAAAACTGGCTCTGGCTTGGAGGAGTGAACATCCTATAAGAGCCTTCTAGTGAGTCAGAGAAGTGCCTCTCAGATTGAATCTTGATTACAGACATAGTTTTGGAGGTTTTTTTACCCGCACGATATAAAGTTAAATATCTTTTAAAACAGATATTTTTTAAAATTGGAGCCCTCACATGAAACCATCTGTAACTGTACAAGATGCTTAGGATGGCAGGAGGAAGGTGGACAATCTCCTCTCTTGCAGTTTACAGCCTCAGAGAACCTACTGGAGGGTCCGCTATGAGTCGGTAATGAGTTATAGCATTTTATCAGAGATATAAAGACCGTGGTAGTGTACATTTTGTGTTAGGCTGCTAACTCTAAGGTCAGCAGTTCAAATCCACCAGCCACTCCACAAAAAAAAGATGGATACAGTCCCCTCTCATCAGGATTTCCAGTCTCAGAGTGGAGGGCTACTATGACCAAAATTCAGTGCCAATGGATTTGGTTTATCAGTGATGAGATTTATAAAGTAAGGATGGTTTTTTTTTAAATTAATACATATATTAACAGAGTATGTGATGTGTATGTGTGCATTGCTTTGTAATTTCTAAAAGGCACCTTTTTAGCACAGTGGTTAAGTACTTGATTGCTGACCAGGGAAAGTGAGCTGAGATATTGTAGCTGCCCTGAGAGTCAAGCTTGGCTCCTGGATATGAGCGAGGGAGTGTGAGACCCAGGAGACTCCCTGAAAGACCTCTTTCTTACCACCAGCCCCATCCCACTTACTACAGGCAGTTGACCCGGTCTTTTTATAGTTTGTCTGCCTTTTGTGTGTCTGTCACTCATTGTACAGCAGTGCCTCAGACTCCCCGACAGAACAGATTTCTGGGCCCCATCCCAGAAGCCCTGAATCAGCACCTCCTGGGGTGGAACCTGGGAAGCTGGATTTATGTGTGCTTTTCAAATGATTCTTATGTTTGAGAGGCTCAAACATGGGTCTAGCAGGAGTAAAGCAAAAGTGATTCTCTGGTCATCTAAATGGCCTTTACAAAAAGAACTGGACTCTTTAATGGGTACTTCACCTGTTCTCAGGACCAGAGCATTTAGAAGCTTCTGGATCTTCTGGTGCTAGGAAACTTAGGAAATGAAAGACTTTATTTCATCTTTAAGTTTTCCCTTCTTGAATGGTTTTAAGGTCAGCTTCAAACTTCCAGCCCAGAGTCTTAATGCTTTTGAATTAGATTCCATCAGTTAATCTTCTTTATTTTAATCTTACCAATTTGACATGAGGACTCTTTACATTTTTCATGCAAATGTATCCAAAGTAAGGCAGCAGAAGTTTAAAGGAAACTAAAAAGAAAAAATTTGATGACTTCACTCTGTGTCCTTGAGCTTTTCAGGTTCAGAGTTGCATTCTAGATTTTGCTCTTCTCTTCGTTCTTTTCTGTAAATGCAGGGTGAGTTTTTAGAAAGTGCCAGATGTGGTGAGGGGCTCAAGGATGAATAGCGTTTGGTCCTTACACTTGGGAAATTTGCAAGCGTGAAAGCCGATGGCTGTAGTGTGCTCAATGTGTCTGAAGTGATGAGAGTATAGTTGTTATGGAGTGTTCTGCCAAGATTAAGATTTCCCTCCTTGGAATGGTTGTTAGGTCAAATCCAGAAAAACTAACCAGGGCTGGTGGCTTGAGCTAAGTCTTGAAGCTTAATGAGCCTTCATGAGAAGCTTTTCGCTTGGCCACAGGGTGGAGTCACATCGTGACTAGATGTTGAGTTTCTGGCCTGTGTGAGGCGAGGAGAAGGAGAATGCAGCCCGGAAGCTCCAGATGCTGTGATAGGGAGTATGGTGCTGACTTTGGACCCAGGATTTTTAAATTGTTCATCATGGAGCCTTGTTATTGTTGTTGTTGAATGCTGTTGGGTCGGAACCAACCCGTAGCTGAACCTCTGGTGGGTTTTCAGAGGGTGTAAATCACATAGGGCGAGATTGCTATCCTTCTGCAGAGCAGCTGGTGGGTTTGAACAGCTGGCCTTTGGGGTTGCAGCATAACTTCTTACCACTAGGCCACCAGAGCTTCCTTAGAGATGCAGGAAGGTGGCATGTGAGATTTGTGAGCACCCCAAAGAGTGGAGAGGAAGGTGCACGAGTGTCTGAACATTCCAGCCTTGCTTCAACCAAATGTTTTCTTTATTAGCCTTCAGAGGATTCTATCTTTGAAAAAAAGGAAGCCCGTCTCCTCTCCTCACGCATAAAGGAAGTTTGAAAATCATTGCTATGAGCAGTTGGGATGCAAGATAGAGATTTTTAAACAGAAGCTAGAAAAGGGAAAAACCAAGAAATCTTCCTGGAGACCAACAACAGGTCATGTCTCAAGTAGATATAAAGCTGGAGCGCTGGTGGCCTAGTGGTAAGAAGCTGCCCTGCAGCGCAGAAGGCGTGCAGTTCGAATCCGCCAGATGCTCCGCTGGGAAAGGAGAAACTGTCCCCTCCTGTGCCAGTCAGATCCGATTCGACAGTACACAGCTAAAACAAACAACCAAATAGAGATAAGGGGGGACATAGTGCTAATGTTGCTGCCAGGTGGATTCAGACCCGTGGTGACCCCATGTAACAGAGTAGGACTGCCCCTCAGGGATTTTAGGCTGTCATCTTTATGGGAGCAAACCTCTAGATACTTCTCCTGAGACCCTGCAGGGTGAGTTCAAATGTTCTGTACCACTAGAGCTCCTTGAGTACTGCAGGCCAGGAAAGAACTAATAAGGCCAGGGCTATGTCAGAGACAGGGCCTGGAAATAAGGCAGTGGGTGCTAGAGGTGGATTAGTGAACATATTGAAGGAGGAGCCCTGATGGCCTTGAGCCCTGAGCAGGGAGCTTCTGAACTAGGAGGTGCAGGAGAGATGTGGAAAGGTGAGTGAGAGAGTGCAGAGCCCTGCTTGAGAGTCTCTGCCTTCCCCAACTGGGTAGCATTGATTGTCTTTTGAATTTAAAATGTTTCTTTAGGGCATCCATCCTTCACACAAACGTCTAGAAAATTCAGTATGTGAAACACTTCATGGGTCATGGAACAGCAGGTTGTGGAGCTCAGTTAGAGGTAAACTTGAGAGTGAAGAAGCGCCCAGGAAAAATTGACAGGGAAAGAACTCGAGAGAACACTGTAAGAGGTAGTCGGAGGGACTGGTCCTCCCAGTGAGAGAAGAAGCAGAGTGCTCAGAGCAGGAGGTGAAGCAGGAGTGAAGGCATTGTGGACCCAGGGGGAAGGACAGGGCTGGGCAGAGTCTGTGGTTGTGATACTGGGAGTGGGGGAAGGATCATTGGTGGCATTCACCAGTTCAGTGAATTGTGGGAGAGGGGCTAGAAACCAGATTTCAGTGCTGGAGAGTTGAGGGGGTATTGGAAAAAGTATAAATCTATTTCTAGAGATTTCACTGATGGTGTATAACCAAAGAGCAGGTTGCTATGCAGAAAGGAAAACTCCGTTGTAATTATTTTTATTTTATCCTGGAAACATGAGGAGTTCACCACGCTGGGAGATTGGGTAGGAATTCCCTTGATATAAGGAGAGTCTCTGGTGGCCACAAGAAGAACGTTGCAGCTGCCTGACTGAAGAAGTGCCTGAATTTGAGGCCCAGGGCACGTCTTGTAGGTCTTTAGCAGAACTTACATGGAAGAGATACTTTTTTGTTGGATTAACTATGATTTAGTTGACTTGACAGCCAGTATCCAACAATTAGCATGTGCACAGACCAAAGTGTGTTTATCCAGGCCAAACCAGTTGTCATGAAGTCAATTCTGACTCTTCCCAACCCCATTCATGTCAGTGAAGTGTGCTTCATGGGGTTTTCTATGGCTGGATTTTTCAGACATAAATCATTAAACCATTCTTCCGAGGCACCACCAGGAGAACTTCAAACCTCTTAGCAGCTGATCTTGTTGATGGTTTACACGTCCAGGGACCCCGTTCATTGAGTCAGTGTGTCTCAGAGAATTGGTCTGTGATGAAAGAGAAGCTGAGACAGGATTGAAACACTGGGGGGAGTTGAGCCCATCAGTGGTCCAGTTCAGATTGGGCAGCAGGAATTTGGGAGAAGAGGGAAGGGGGTAGGTTGCTAGAGACAAGGAATATTTCTAGACAGTGGCTCATGTGACAGAAAGTGAGCTGTAGAGACTGGAAAGAGTAAATGAATGTAAAATCATGCTTGGGCTAACCAAGAGGAGGGTTAGCAATTCACTTGTGATACCTGTGTTTTCTCAAGGAAATAGAATTTTGGGCAGCTTGGAGAAACAACAACCCAGATACTCTTCAAGCTGCCCAAAATTCTATCTGGGTTGTTGTTTCTTTGATGTTAAGTGCTGTGAAGTCAGCTCTGACTCACAAAGGCCCTGTGTACAAAACCCTGTTGATCCTTTGTCATCTGCACAGTGTCTCCTGTGCTTAAGCCCATTGGTGTAGTCACCATGCCAATCCATCTGATTAAAGGTCTTCCTTTTTTTTTTCACAGACCCTCTGCTTTTCCAGGGACGGTGTCCTTTTCCAAGGACTAGACCCCCCCCCCCGCCCCCCGATAACATGCCCAAAGTGTGTGAGATGCAGTGTGGGTTAGGAGAATGAAAATGGGGTGAGGGTCTTGAATGTAGTAGTAAAAGCTCAGCAATGCCAGAATAAGACAACTGAGTTTGAAAAAGTTATAAGGAGTACACATAATATTGATGTTCTGTACATAATAACTTAGATCTGGAGAGAGAAAGGCATGGCCACAGCTACACAGCTATAGCCGGCCCAGGCAGCATGTGGTCCTGTTTTCAATCACAAAAGCAAAGTTTTCTGCCACCCTCAACTCCTTTTGCTCGTAACATTCTACTTCTGGCCTGAGATACAGTAACTGTCTAGTGAAAGTGACAGTCCCTGAGCACCATTTAGGGATGCTGGTGGCACTGTATAAAGCAGTTGGCTGCTAACTGAAATGTCAGCAGTTTGTCCACCATGCATTCGATGAGGCAGGCTGTTTATTCAAAGATCCACAGCCTTGTAAATCCTATGAGATGGTTCTGTTCTGTCTTACAGAGTTGTTGTGAGTCAGAATCAGCTTGATGGGAGTGGATTGCTGGTTTTTTGTTTTGTTTTGTTTTGTGGACTTTTAAAAATACCTCTTTTCACAGTGAACCCTTCTTTGATCTCCACCTCCTCATGCCTGATTAGACACCCAGCTCTTTGAAGGGTGTTTTGGTTTATTGGCCGTTTTAGAAGTTAGTTACATCACTTTCAGCAAAAGAAGTACTTCTCTTACTCCATCTGCCTAAAGGTTTAGTCTGTTAAGTGGTAGACTAGTGAAAGGGTTTTAATCGCCATGTTTTCCCCTTTATGTTACTTTTTTTTTTTTTTTTTAGGATTCATCACATAGGGACAGGGACAGAATTTCAATATATTCATCTTTAGTATTTGCATTACCTGGACTTGAGTATTAAGATTGGGCTCACCACCTAGATTTCTCTTATGATTTTGATTCTCAAAATATACAGGCCTAGGAGGTATGCATCAACACTAGACATTTGTAATCTACAACCTAAATGATGATAAAAGTTCCTTGAAAAGCACTGGTGGCACAGTGGTTAAACACTCAGCTCCTCCCAGTGGCTTCACGAGAGGAAGACCTGGTTATCTCCTCCTTTAGAAAGTGTCTCCTGGGGAACCCAATGGGGGCAGCTCTGTTCTATAATGTGGAGTTGCTATGAGTTGAAGCTGATTGGAAAAAAAAAAGTTTCTTCCTGATCTCTGGTGGTCTAGCCTAGGACCTTAAAAGTTTACAACAGCTCCAGAGGGGGTCATTCTTTCTCACGGATTGTTGTTGACTTGAAACCCGCTTACAGCTGACCCCTTGTTGGATTTCCAACGCATCACTTGCACAGAAGGAGATGGCTGGTCTTTTTCTGGAGAGCTACTTCTGGTGGATTCTTGAACTGCCAGCGAGGTGTGGTCTTTGGATTAGCAGAGCACTTCCCTACTGACTGTAGAAGCAGAGCTGAGCTGTGCTCGGCATAACTCTTTAGATTGTCTGGATCTGGAGACCTGGGTAAACCTTGAATTTCGCTCTGATATTCATGGGTTTCTTGGACCTCAGACCTGAATTGTATTTTCTCCTTTGAGACAAGTGCTGTGAGGCCTGGCCTGTGGGTGGCCTTGTGAAGAAGGGCACGGGTGTGGGCATTTGCGGCTCTGGTTTGGTAACCAGTAGCATCATTCACTCACAATGCACCTGTGTTGTTGTGTCTTCCCAGACAAGGAGTTCACCGTTCGGCTGGAGACGGATAAGCGCCTGTACACAGTGGGGGAGCCCGTGGAGTTCAGGTGCATCCTGGAGGCGCAGAGCATTCCCGACCGCTACTTTGCTGTCTCCTGGGCCTTCAACAGCTCGCTCATTGCCAGTGTGGGGCCCAACGCTGTGCCAGTCCTCAACAGTGAATTTGCCCACCGAGAAGCCAAGGGGCAGCTTAAAGTGGCCAAAGAGAGCGACAGCGTCTTTGTGCTGAAGATCTACCACCTCCGCCAGGAAGACAGTGGGAAATACAACTGCCGAGTAACAGAAAGGGAGAAAACAGTCACTGGGGAGTTCATCGACAAGGAGAGCAAGCGCCCCAAGAACATCCCTATCATAGTCCTCCCGCTCAGTAAGTAGAGAGACGGTCTGCTTGCACCTGCTCCTCCTAGTTCCTGGTTCAGCAACAAGCCCCATGGGAGGGGAGTGGAGACAGAGAAGAGTAGGTCAGTGTTAAGGTGAGATGCAGGTACAACTCAAAGGTTAAATCAATCCAGCATCTACTCTCTCACCCCCTAGTTAAGTGGAGAGGTTCAGGGGTGTGTCTGGGTCTCAGTCCATTTGTGCTTCAGCTCAGCATAGAGGAAAACCAGGAATCCAGGAAAGCAGTGTGCTCCTGGGCGGGAATGAAATCTCAGGAATAGTGGGTAGATTCCTACGTTGAAATCTCAGCTAAGGAGAACCAGTCATTTAAGGGGTGATTTTTAAATTGTAGAGAATATTCTTTAGAAAGAGTTGCTAGCTGGGTTTTGGGGTTGAAAAGGGTTGGCATTTCCCTAATTGTCTTCCCTATTTAAAGAATGGTTTTAAAAGCTTCTCAAGTCTTCCTGGAACAGAGAGTATCAAGTTTAGTGAGTTTCTGGGGCTACTTGGGGATCCTTGGCCCCCACTTGAGCTGTCCAGTCTAGGTGGGAAACTCCCATTACCGGGCACTTGCAGGGACCGCCTGTGTGCTCATGCTGTGTTTAACCATCCATGGTATCAGAATGTTCTTATAGCCACGTCTCTGATAGTTCTGTTTTCAGTAAAGAGAGGAATAAAAGCTTGTAATGCCCTTATTTCAAATACGATGATGAACTAACCTTTAACTTCTTCTCAACTGCTCAAACTGTCTTCCTCTTAGCCTTATGATGACTTCCTTTACATTTTTATTTACACTTTCACAATTAAACAGTATTTCTCTTTAGGTGTGAAGACAAAAAAACAGACATAGAGACTTTGCCACTTTATCCTTTTCTCATGAACAGGAATATTTTCTGTCATGCTTTTTTATTTTATCTTATTTTTTTTTTTAAAAAAAGACAACAGATAACAGATGAGTAGTTGTCTTGTAATCTCTTTGTACTTGGGCTCTGACCCTGCATTGCCTAGCATGGTGCTTTGCATATAGTAGGTGCTTGCTGGATGTTTGTAGAATTGAAGTCATAGACTTGAATTCCCACTCTCCTTATTACTTTACTGTCAGTCTTTGCCTGCCTTAACCACCACCTCTCTACTTTTACATCTGCAACTAATTCCTCATTGTTTTATAAGGAACAGTGAAGGGCAGCCACAATATTTACTTTATCCCTTTTGTATTAAGAGATTTCCCCCCACCCCTTCCACGAACGTGTTTGATGATCTGTGGCCATGCTGTATTGCTTTTCCAGCAGATAACTGGGTAGTTAAAGTCCCTCAGCACCACCAGATCCTGCCCCAAGGCCACTTGGGTAAGTCTACCAAAGAACAACAATAATCACATCGATAATGATGCTAATTCCTTGACTTTTAATGGCGCTTTTCCTTCTGAGAGCCCAAAGTGCTTTTGCATATATCATCTTTTCTGTCTCTACTCCTCAGATCCCTGTAGAGGCCAGTGGTCTGTCCACTCTGAGTGAAGGAGCCAGAGCATTGTGCAGGGAGGTGACCGAGCTGATTATTCAGTTAGTGTTGAGCTTGCATTGCATTAGAATCATTGCTTCTAACTCCAAACCCACTGCTCTGCGCTTAGCCTATGCTACACCAGCAGCCTCCTGATTTGAAATTTCATTTGCAAACATGTACTCAGGTTCTCATTAATTCTGTCCTACTTTTCCCTTAATCCAGATAGTTTTAAATTGTCAGTTGCCTTTTCCGAGGCCTGAGAACCCTTATAAATAGTCTTAATGGGCAAGGCAGGACCAGATCTGTGCTTGCTTTTGCCAGGGCTGCAGAAACAGCTTTTCTTCTCAGAAGTCCATACTCTGTGTGGTTTCTCCAGGCTGGCCTGAGCGGCAGAGCCCTGCACAGCAGCCCTCATATTTAACAAGCTAGAGCTTATATAAGGGTTGTTTGGGGTGACAGGAGAGAGTGAGGGTGATGTCCTGTATGTCATTCTTTGCTTACTTAAGGCAAGCAAAGGGATTTTCTCTCTTGATGCTAAAGTTGACAATAATCTTGCCTTCGGAATTGATCAAAGGGGATGAGTCTATAATTGAAAGGGGATTATGATTCTTATTATTAATGATGATGAATGAAAAATAATTACCTCATCTCATCCTCCTAGTGTAGGAATTATTAGTATCTCCTTTTGCCCAGTATTGCACTTGGGTCTGGTAAGTAAGAACCCAGAATTGCAGGGTTAGGAGGTAGTAGACTTAGGCCTAGAAACCAAGTCTACCTACCTGTAATTAATCAGGAGCCTCCAGCTGTCTTGATATGATTCCTGGGAGGTTGCCATCTGGGAAAATGGCTGTTTCTCACCTTATCCAGGCTTTTTCTTTACTTGAGACAAGCAAATACAGCGTATAAGGCATACTCAACTCTAACAAGCGCCACGTGCTAGGGCTCTGTGCACATCTTTGTCTGTTTCTGCCCGTGGGGGAATCCAGGGGAGAGCAGATTGATTCCGGCACATCGCTGTATGTATGTGTGTGCTTTCTCTCAGTGACAGCTATGCCTCTGCAGCTGCAGTTTGATTTAACTGATTGGTTTAAAATTGTTCTCTGTGTTTCATGTGGGTGTTACCCTAAAGATCGGAGCCAGAGTAGTTGTAGTTCTGTGTGACTTAGGGACTTTTTGAGCTTAATAAAGATAGCAATACAAAGTAATATGTGTGTAAAGATAGATCAGAGTGCCAGTTTTATTTTTAAAAACACAATAGCTATTTAAAGGTAATGATAATAGCAATCTTTTTTGAAAATACACATAAGCTAGTGGCCTAATGGTAAGAAACTGCACTGCAGTCCTGAAGGCACGTGGTTCGAATCCACCAACTGCACCAAGGGAGAAGGATGAGCAGTCTCCTTCCATGCAACTAACTGCCTTTGAAAATCCACTGGAAGGTCAGCTGTGGGTCAGTTCTGACTCAAAGGCACACAACAACAGGTGATCTAGATACATTGTCTTACTCACTTTTTAATCTTTTAAAACCTTCCCAGCTTATATAGCATACTTCCCATCTAACAGAGGAAAAATTGTAGCATGTGTGATTTAAATAATTTTATTAAGTTCATTTAACTTGTGAAAGGCAAAAACTAGATGGAGACAGTGAAGGTGGTAGTACTCTGTACCTTTATTGGCAGAACGTTTCAAGTTGAGAGCAGGACCCCAGGCATTGACTGTGGACAAGCATTTGAATGGGGGACAGAGAGGCAGGCACTGGCCTCAGTTTATTCCTGTGTGTTAATGAACGTATAAAAGCTCTCTCCCCATGCACTCTGCTAAGCTATACCATCTGGGCTCCATTATTGTCCATATTCAAGCATACTTGATCTTCTAAGCACTTCCCATTATTTGCTTCTACTTCCTGATATTGCCCTGGAGAAACCAAATGGCACATCACAGATGCAGCTCCTCTTTGAGTGCTAGGGCATTGGATGGTGGGAAGGTCAAAGTGAAGTAGAATTCTAGTATTGTTCAACTTACTAAAAGTGGAAAGGGGAAAGTCCTAACCTCCAGTCCAGTAGGTTTAAGCTGATGGACTGTTTTATGACCTGAAATGTTGTGTTGTGTTTCTTTGGTCTGATTCAGCCTCAGGTCTTAGAATTTGGTTCTGACCCAATCCTGTGCAGGCAGCAAAGGCCTTCCTCGAGGAGCAGATCCAGATTGCACGGAGCAGAGCCCAGAGCCACCAGGGCTTGCAGCATCAAGCGCGAGATGCTTTTATTCTCTGAGGTTCTTAGTATCTGAATGTGATTAACTTTGCCTCATCTTCCTGGTATGTCTGTGGGAAGGGCATCATGGAGACCATAAAGCCCCCACCTTGTCACTTTCTCTCCCCAGAGAGCAGCATCTCCGTGGAGGTGGCCAGCAACTCCAGCGTCATCCTGGAAGGGGAGAACCTGCACTTCTCTTGCAGCATCCGCACGGCAGGCAAGCAGCAGGGCCGTTTCTCTGTCATCTGGCAGCTCGTGGACCGGCAGAACCGCCGCAGCAACATCATGTGGCTGGACCGAGATGGCACCGTGCAGCCAGGAGCGTCCTATTGGGAGCGAAGCAGCTTTGGGGGTGTCCAGATGGAGCAAGTGCAGCCCAACTCGTTCAGCTTGGGTATCTTCAACAGCAGGAAAGAGGACGAGGGCCAGTATGAGTGCCACGTGACCGAGTGGGTGCGGGCAGTGGACGGCGAGTGGCAGATAGTCGGGGAGCGCCGGGCCAGCACACCCATCTCTATCACAGCCCTCGGTAAGTGTCCACATGCTCTTGGTGAGACCATGGTGGAGACTGCCACGTCAAGAACTTCACCCTATCATTTATTAGTCAAAGTTCTGGTAAAAAACAGATGGCATATGCCAGAGGGTTTAATTGAAGAGATTTTGTGAAAGAACGTATAGCATTAATGAGCTGTGGTTGGTGGGACATTGAGGACTAGCAAAGAACTCTTAAGTTGTTTCCACTCCTACACTGGGAGGGCGGAAAGTCAAGCATTATAGCCAGAGAAGCGGAGTCCCTGAGTGGGCAGTGAGTTCGTGCTTGGCTGCTAACTGGGAGTTTAGAGGTTCAGATTCATCCTGACACACCTCAGAAGAAAGGGCTGAAGATCTGTTTCCCAAAACTCCTAAAACCCCCGTGGAGCACAGTTTTGCTCTGACGCACCTGGGGTCACCATAGTCTTGGTATCACCTCGCAGGGGAGAGACAGGTGAGTAAGGCCACACAACAGGAGTGGTGTCCCTGGTCTCTGAGGTCTGCGCTCTGTGTCCAAACTGTGGTTTGGAAGAGAAGGGCTAAGTGCCACAGGTCCTCGCTCTTCCTGCCCTCTAGGTCTCTTCCCAGAGCCCAGCCCATCTGAGGGAGTTCCACACAGGGCAGCGGAGGGCGGAAAATCACAAGCGCCCTTTATAAGGCACTTACTCTGCCTGAGTTAAAGCCCTTAAGCATAATTGTCCTACTGAATCCTTGCCTAGCCAAGACTGACATACTTGTATGTTACAAAGAAACTACAGCTTAGGTTAAATAATTTGTATGAGGCTCCAGTTTTTAAACAAAACTTTTAATCTGAACACTAGAAACTAGCACTCTCTCGTATTTTTTTTTAATTATTTTCTTGTGATTTGAGTGAACAAATCATACTGGATTTTTATTTAATCACTTATACACATTTTATTTTATAACATTGATTGCAATTAATTAATTACTTAATAATATTATGAGACCAACCCCATACTATATATTATGTCCTTCCTCCAACTTAATAAATACCTTCTACTTAGAGAGCCTATATTCTTACCTCCTCTTCTATAGAGCTTCTACTTAACAGCATCATTTCTTTATCATATGAAATTAAAAGATACTTTGAGATTTGCTGAAACCGTAGCATATCACATTTGCCTCTCAGGAGCAGTTAAAGAAGCTTCTATCAACATTTATCTGCCTAATATTATCAGTATATTAAATTTTAAAAGACCAGCCTTCTGCTTTGCTTGGAAAATAGCTTGTCATGTTAGGTTTTCATGTCAATCAGGAGATTGCGGCTTCCTGGGCGTGTGGAACCTCCTTCCTCTAACAGGTGTCTGTTAGAGCCCCCCAGTAAAGATGGCAGCCCAAAGACCTTTGCCAGAGACAAGGCATCTCTTTTCTTCTCCCTTTGAGATTAGACTTACATATACTTTCTAAAAGCATAATCTCAAAGATTGACCTGCCTTGTGCAGAAATCATGGTTCTGATTTCTGTCTCTGGAAACTTTTCCCAGTGATTAAGTTTCCTGATAAGCTGAATCCCTGTAACTGTACTCAGCACCAAAGTGGGCCTATTTATATGGAGCTTGTGACCAAAGTTCTGGTGTCCTTTGGTGGTAGTTTTTCTTCCATTCTGTGAAGCTAGGAAGAGTCAGTCAGAATTAATTTCTCTAGAAGTTTTCCTGTGTAACATTTCCCCACTTGTTTTAAAAAATCCACTCTCCCAAGAGCCTGGATCCTAGCCCTGCCCTATTTCCATCCCTGGGGTGCTTGTTGTTGTTGTTGTTGTTATGTGCCATCGAGTCGCTTGCGACTCATAGCGACCCTATATACAAGAGCTCTAAATGCTGTTCTATCCTGTGCCAACCTAGCCATCTCAAACGCACTTATTCCCACCGCTCCAGTCACAGAATCAATCCCATCTCACCAAAGGTCTTCCTCTCCTTCGCTTCCCCTGCACTCTGCCAAACATGATGTCCCTTTCCAAGGACCAGTCCCTCCTTGCAACATGCACAAAGTATGTCAGACGAAGCTTCAGAATCCTTGACTCCAGGGCTTCACCCTCTCCAGGATGAACCTGTTTGTTCTCCTAGCAGACCATGGTATATTCAACACTCGTCTCCAGCACCACAGCTCAAAGGCATCAATCCTCTTTCTATCAGCCCTATCAGGGAGGCCTAATAGGGTTGGGAGAGCAAAGAGTGAGAGCAGCCCAAAGAAAGTGGCCTTTTCATTCTAAATAGTCACACCAAATTTGTACCCAACTAGGTACAAATCCTCTAGCCAGGAGGTGACAGTGACAAAGTGACCAATTGATATAATAGGTGAGAAAGGGCTCTTGATACACGAGGGCCGTTCTGTTTCCTTAGTCAGGCAGCGGTGCTGCTGGGTGCCTCGTGTGACCATGGAGAGGGCCTGTGTCAGGCTTGAGCATGATCATGAGCTCTGAGAAGCTCTCTGGTCCTGTACAGTGTTGGCCAGGGATGTGAGACCAGGTCTGGCTCACTAGGACCCGTGCTGACCTTCAGCACACACCACACACACCCAGAGGTAAATTCATGATGCTCTTTTGATGGTCTTGATACATGGGTGACCATCACAGCAACTTAATGTGTCAGACATAAACACACACACACACACACACGCACAGAGAGAGAGAGATTCTTTTGTTCATTGCCGTAGAGTCAGAACCTATTCATAGCTGACCCTCTACTTGGTTCCTCAGTCTGTACATCTCACAGGAAGAGATTTCCCATCTTTCTCCCCTAGAGCTGTGGGTAAATGTGAACCATCAGTGAGGCACAATCTTTGGATTAGCAGTGTAGTTTCCTATGCACCCCAACGCTAGAGTAATGGATATATAAAAATCATTTATTAAATTCAAGCTGATAGTCCCGGAGTTTTCAGGAGATTATGCCTACTTTTTGTTGGTCTGCCTTTCTGGATAAAGCTTAATGTATTAGCCAAAGAGTTTAAAATACTTTGCTTTAAGTTTATTTTCTTTAACAAATTGTATATTTAAGAAAATATACTCTGTAGTTCCTGGTACTGCCCTGTTTGATGGATTAATTCATTTAGTCTTTGTAAAAACCTGTTCAACAGATAGAAATACTGAGGCTCAGAGAAATAAATTGCACACTGTAATACAACAATTAAGTATATGGGAAGCTCTTTCCAGAATCTGTATCCATAACAACTGCCTTATCCTCATGGCAGGGCAATATAATAAATTCCGTGTTAAAGATATGCTTTGGAATTAGTCCTGTGTGTGTTTAAAGCCTGACCCTGCCATTTGCTAGCAGTTTGGTACAGAGCAGTTGATTTAAATTCTCTGTGCATCAGTTTTTCCATGTGTTACATAAGGTGAAGGGAAGTGAGTATTGCTGCTAAACACATCTGTCTAACAGGTTGTTTTGACAATTGAATGAAGTGTAGTGAAATCAAGCAGTTGACACCATGCCTATAAGTTACACCAGGCATGTAAGTTATTGTTTGTATGTTTGTTGTTGTTGCTGTTATTGTTGTTAGGTACATCAAGTCAGAACTGACCCTCAGTTAACTAGACGTCTAGTGAGTTTTCAGAGGCAATAAATTTTACAGGAGGAGATTGCCCATCACTCTCCTCTGGAGCAGCTGGTAGATTTAGACCAGTGTCTTTGGGATTGCAGTGCAGCCTTTCACCACTGGATATATCTATTTTTGTTGTTAGGTTCCATGAAGTACAAATAGCGACTCCTCTATGATCAGCCAGCCTGAAATCTGCCCTATCCTGTGCCATCCTCATCATCTCTGAGACACTAGAGCCCATTGCTGAAGTCACAGTGTTAGCCCATCTCATTGGAGGTCTTCTTGTCCTTCACTGACCCTCCATTTTTCCAAGCATGATGTCCCTTTCCAAGGAATACCCTCACCAAGCTGCATGTCCAAAGTAGGAAGGAACACTCTGGGCACACCCTTTTCAGGACATAATTGTCTTTTGGCAGTCAAGGGGATATCTAGTACTCTTCTCCAGTACCACAACTCAAAGTCATCAATTCTTTTTCTGTCCTCCTTACTCATTCTCCATCTTTCTGATGTGTAGCAGGTGATAGAGAAGACCATGGTCTGAATCGGGCACACCTTAGTCCTCAAATTGATATCCTTGCTCTCCAGTTTTTTGGAGAGATCCTTGACAGCAAGCTTGCCTAATGTAGTACATCTCCTGGTTTCCTGACTGCTGGCAAGACGAAATCATTAACAACTTTAATCTTTTCTTCATCTATCATAAAGTCGACTGTTGGGCCTCTGGTGAGAATCTTTGTCTTCTTGATGTTGAGATGTACTGCATACTGAGGGCTATAGTCCTTGATGTTCATTCTGCAGTAAGTGTTTCATGTTCTCCTCACTTTCAGCAAGCAGAGTTGTGACATCAGCATAACACATCTTCTTGATGAGTCTTCCTCCAATCCTGATGCCACCTTTCCTTTTCATAGAGTCTGGCTTTGTGAATTATTTGCTCAGCATACAGATTGAATAGGTATGGAAAAAGGATACAACTGTGATGCACACCTTTCCTGATTTAAACCAAGCAGTGTTCTCATGCTCTGTTTGCATGACAGCTTCTTGGTCTAAGTGCAAATGTCATATAAGCACAATTAGTGTTCTGAGATTCCCATTCTGCTCATTGTGAGCCGTAAGCTGTTATGATCCATACAGTCAAATACCTTTGCATAGTCAATAGAACACAAATATACGTTCATCTGGTATTCTCTGCTTTCAGCAGTGACATCCCTGATAACGCAGCCTCTTCTAAAATCAATTTGTACTTCTGGCAGCTCCCTGTCAATATACTACTGTTCAAGCTGCTTTTTAATGATCTTCAACAATATTTTGCTTGCATGAGGTATTAATATTGTCTGATAGTTTCCACGTTCTATTGGATTACCTTTTTTTGGGAATGGGGACAATTAATCTCTTCCAGTCTGTTGGCCAGGTAGCTGTCCTCCAGATTTCCTGGCATAAGCTGGTGAGCACACCCAGGACTGCATCTGTTTGTTCCAACATATCAGTTGGTATTCTATCAATTCCTGGGGCCCTATTTTTTTTGCCAATGCCTTCAGTGCTGCTTGAACTTCATCTTTCATCACCATTGGCTCTTGTTCATATGGTACTTGCTGAAATTTTTCCATGTCAGCCAATTCTTTTTGGTACAATTCTGTGTATTCCTTCCATCTTCTTTTGATGCTTCCTGGATCATTCAAGATTGTGCCCATAGCATCCTTCAGTATTATACCTCAAGACTTGAGTTTGTTCTTCATATCCTTCAGCTTGAGAAATGCTGAGCGAGTTATTCGCTTTACATTTTCTGACTAGTACTCAGTAAATACAGGCTGATATTTATTTTCTGATTATAAGCAATGTGTTAGTACTAAGTGGTCTTTTAAGACTGAAAGAATTCTTGAGAGATCAGTTAGGGATTAGTGACATTGCCAGGTCAATGAGGAATAGTTAAGAGCCTACTGAGGACTGAGACTGAGGACCTTTGGGTTTTGGAATTTTATTCCCACTCTAGGGAGCTCTCGTGGCTTAGTGCATAGGAACTTGCACTGCTAGCCCAAGGCCCATGCCTCTCTGGTGATTTGAATCCACGAGCTGCTTCTTGAGAGAAAGATGAGCAATATTTTCAATGCAATTTATACCCTTCAAAACCCAATGGAAGGTCAACTGTGAGCTGGTTCTGACTTGACGGCTGTGAGAATTCCCTCTGACTCACGTGGGTTTTCTCCAGGAGTTAGGATCAAAGCAAATAGCCACTGTTTATCCCCTCACACTTGTGGTTACTACCTACTAAATCTGAGGCTCTCCTGCTGGGGCCCTCATTGCCTCTCTTTCTCTGCATTTCCTGTGAAATATGTGGGAGAGGACTGAAGAGCAAGCCAGAGTTTCCCAGCCCTAAGAATCTCACAGCAGCCTCCTTGGTCTGCCTTCCTCTTCTCTGGCCCATATGCACTCAGGATCCAAGAGAGGATGGCAGGGGTGTGTGTCCACTTGGCTCACTGAAAACAAATTGACTTTGGGCTGTTTAACTCCTAACTGCTAGGAGAACAAACAAGTTCATCCTGGAGAGAGTGAAGCCTTGCAGGCAAGGATTGGAAGCTCCGTCTGACATATTTTAGACATGTTGCAAGGCAGAATCAGTCCTTAGAGAGGGATGTCATACTTGGGAGGGTGGAGGGACAGCACAGGAGAGGAAGACCCTTGAAGAGATGGATTAATTCAGTGACTGGGGTGATGGGGATAGCCGTATTGGAGACAGTAAGATTGGCAAGGGATAGAGCAGTGTTTAGGGCCATTGTACATCAGGTCACTATGAGTTGTAAGTGACACATAACAACAAGAAGTAGCATAGAACCTCAAGATTTCTAATATAGACCCAGTCTCAGTCTCTGAAAAGTGGTATTATCTAATTCCAGGGGAGAATTAGGCTCACATCCACGCTATTACCAAAGTCTTTACCATAAGTCTTGTTCTGAAGGGTTTATGCTGGAGCTGCTTTAAAGAGAATCGCTCTTAGCCTCTTTCTGTGGGATCTTGTAAACTGCTGGATTTGTGCCTCAGTGTGATCCTTAATATACTGTTGGCCCATGTATCAAAAACTCGTTGCTGTCAAGTCCATTTGTGCTCATGGTGGCTCCGTGTATGCAGAGCAGCCTGCATCATAGGGTTCAAGGCTGTTTCCTTTCAGAGGCAGATCACCAGGCCTTTCACTCACAGCACCTCTGGGTCGGTTCAGTCCACCAACCTTTCAATTAGTAGTTGAACACTTCACTTTTTGTACCACTCAGAGGTCCCCATGTATCCAAACAAACGGCTGTAAAGAGAAGCCTGCTAGCCTTTTTCCTGCTCCTGTTTAGTCAACAGCCCATCACCGACATCACACTGCCCTGGGAAGGCCAAGGGGGTCCTCTGACTTGACTTTCCCTCTTCTCTTTCCAGAAACGGGCTTTGCGGTCACAGCCATCTCGCGCACGCCGGGGGTCACCTACAGCGAGTCCTTTGACTTGCAGTGCATCATCAAGCCTCATTACCCGGCCCGGGTCCCTGTGTCGGTGACGTGGCGCTTCCAGCCAGTGGGCACCGTTGAGTTCCATGACCTGGTGACCTTCACCAGGGATGGAGGAGTCCAGTGGGGGGACAGATCCTCCACCTTCCGAACCCGAACAGCCATCGAGAAGGCCGAGTCCAGCAACAACGTGCGCCTGAGCATCAGCCGGGCCAGTGACACGGAGGCGGGCAAGTACCAGTGTGTGGCGGAGCTGTGGCGGAAGAACTACAACAACACGTGGACGCGGCTAGCGGAGAGGACCTCCAACCTGCTGGAGATCAGGGTGCTGCAGCCAGGTGAGTAGGGCAGCGGCGCTTGGCTGCCCTCTGCAGGGTCTGCGCCCCCAGGGGCTTCTATTGGTGGATAAAACACATGCATTGAACTACTGCAGTCCTTATTTTGAGACATTTTAAGTCTGTAGAACATTGCAGTCATGCTCAGAAACCTTTATTTCCTTTCTTTCATGACTATTTGTTAACATCTTACCACACTTATTTTCCCACTTTGTGTACACTTTGTTCTTGTTGGATCTTTAGAGACTAAAGCACAGTGAGCAGTGACCAGAAAACCAAACCCACTGCTGTTGATTTGATTCCAGCCCATAGCAACTTCCTGCCATGTTCCCCAGACTGCATATCTTTACAAGAGAAGACTGCATGTCTTTGTCCCTTGCTGTGACTGCTTGTTTCCTTCCACCAGCCTTCCACCAACACACCACGTCACCACGGCTCCTTAGAGACTTTGGCTTGTGTTTCTTACAAGGAGCCCTGGTGGCTCAGTGGATAAATGTTCAGCTACTAACACTGAAGATCGGCAGCTCAAACCCGCCAGTTGGTTCATGAGAGAAAGATGTGGCATCTGCTTCTGTAAAGAGTGAAAAGCCTTGGAAGCTGGAGGGTGCAGTCCTACTCCACAGTATGGGGTTATGGTCAGTTGGGCTTGCTTCGATGACAGGAGGCTGAGCAGCTCCTAAGAACAAGGTTGTTCTCCTGTGTAGCACAGTATTATCTTCCTCTGGTAATTCAGCATTATTGTGGTTCTGTTAGTGATATCAAGAGTGTTAATGACTGAGTTCTCAGGTTCTAGCGGACAGATTGGCAGTTGAAATGTCCCCAGTGGTATCTTGGCAGACAGGGCAGAGATGTGATTCTGAAAGGCCACTGCCTTGAAAACCCCAGCATTCGCTTCTCTGAAACCCATGGAGTTCAGCAGTAACACAACACTGTTACCTTTGTTTTCCCAGTACTGTCATTTACTGGGTTTTGTTTTGGTTTTTTTTCTTCTTTTAAATCAGGATCCAATCTGGGATTTCACATTGCCTGTTTAGTTGAGACTTCTTTACTCTAGAACACTCCTGCGGCTTGTGTGTGGATAGTGTGCGTGCTAATGTTGCGACATTGAATTGATATTTATAAACTGTCTAGCCAGTTTCCCTTTACTTAACCTCATTGCCTATAAACTTCATAACAGTTATTGTTCCACATTTACAGACAAGGGAACTCAGAGAGAGGCAGGACTAGGCGCTCAGGAACATCTGCTGTTCACTAGTGCTGAAGATCAGTTACTTCATTTAAATTTCATAATTGCCCTAAAGACAAGCCAAATCCTCTGTTTTGAGTTGATCTGAAGCCTCAGTAGGGTTTCCCCACCTTTTGGTGAGCAGCCCAGCAGGTAACGCGCTGCATCATGAGGCTCCTTATAATAGCTCGAATGACTATCATGCCTCCTTTCAACTGTATGTGGGCAGAATACAAGGAGGGAATCCACAATCTGTGGCCTAGAGTAAACTCACCACGCACTCAACTACTCAGGAGATACGGGACAGGCACGGGGAAGACTGTGAGGGCAGCACGTCCTCCACCACTCACCTGTACTCAGGGAAATGCCTGATGAAGGTGAGAACATTTGCAGAAGGCTCCAGTGGCTTATCTTTGGCTCCATTTTTCTGTTATAGACTATCAAGAGTGCATTGCCGGCTGCTTTGACAGACTTAGCCTCTTGGTGCCCAGAGAGGAAGCATGGCACAATGAAGAAGGGGGGTGGGACAGAAAGTGGGTTTTTTGTGGACTCCTTCCTGACTTTGTGACCCACCCACTTTGCAAAGATAGTTTGAACATTTTGCCAAAAGGATTTCTACCTAATAGGAGCCCTGGTTAGTGCCTAACTTTGTTTCTGTGACCACCTCAGGATGCCTTCAGTATTCCTTTCGGCAACGTGAGGTTAAATAACTACAGTTTCTGAGTTTAGCCTTCACCTCTTGTGACATCCTCCCCCGCCCCCCCCCACACACACACACACAGAGCTGTGTTCTGGACCAGAATTGGGGATAGAAGAGCTGTGAGTGTCAATGATCAGTGTGCTCCTTGGCCAATTAGAGCCCAAACCTGGGCTGACAGGATGCTCAGGGAAGAGACTGTTCTGCTTAAGTGGATTTTCAGGTTAATTGAGGGTTAAGCAGAGACCCCATTTTATGTGAACCCTTGTTGTGGAAAATGCTGAGGTACCCACTTGCCTGCCTCATTGAGTGGAACATAATGGTCGTAATTGAACCTTTTTGTTGCCTCCTCTGGCCCTCACGGTCAGCGTTCTGAACTGCAACGCCATCACTTGGGTTTGCAGCCATAGAAGGCGGAACACTCCAAGACTTTGTCTGACATTGCCTTTTTTAGGAGGTTTCTCATCTCTGCTGGTTTCTGTTGCTATTTAGAAACCAAGACTGGAAAATCTAGTGGATGAATAAAGAATTAGTTCACTCAGGGATCTGGATTTTTAGGATCTGGTTGATTTGTAGTGTTCCCAGCAGAGATAAGGGCAAAAATACTTTCAGTAGATCTTGAATACTCACCTTTGTTCTTAGTTGTTCACCTGTTTCTGTTTAAAGTCATGCAATAATCTAATGATTTAGAATTCATATCCTTATTTTGCTAATGAGGAAAACAAGGCATAAAGTGGTTTAGGAACCTTAACTGAGGCAAACCAGTTAAGTGGAAAGCTGAGATTTGAGCCGCAGTTGGAGGCTGAGTCTCTGATGTCTGTACCTCCGCTTTCCGCCACTGCTCCATAGTGTTCCCTCCTGTCTAGAAACATGACCTGGGGAGATAGGAGACCCAAGATGCTACCCTGTGTGGCCTGAGATGAGGTGTTTCTGTTTGTAGTTTGATGGTAAAGTGAGAGGAACTACCAGTTCTTAGCACAGGAGAGTTAGGAGAGGCGCTGTCCCTGGCTGTTAGGAGGCCTCTCCTGAAAGGGCCAGCACAGTGCACTTCCCCAGCGCTTGGGGCGAGGCCTCCAGGCAGAGTGTGCCTCCTGGGGAGTGGCTGAGACACCAGCACCAGCTAGAGTGCATCCCCTTAAGTGTTACTGCCTCTCCTTTATTAAATATTTATGTATTTAGCACTTAATATTTTCCTGAGAGATTTGTGCTTGTTTTGACTTTTTTTTTTTTCCATCTGCACTCTGATTCTCTTATTTGGGGGACGTAGAAGTAGAAAAGTGCATCTGTTGAGGGCTGACTGTGTGCAAAGGTTGTGCTGGTCACTCAATGAAGATACCCTGGGGGGAAGGATTGCTGCCCATTTTATAAATGGGAAAACTGAGGCTCAGAGAGATTTGAACTTGCTGAGGTCAAATAGTGAGGGAAGGGGCTAGAATTTGAACAAGGACTGATTAAAAATCTGTTAGAGTAAACGAAAGGGAGATTGTGACCTTTTTTAAGGCCGTATGATCAGAAATTAGCTTTCTGCATTCAGTTCACAGCCTCACTTAAAGAAGCGGCTTCTCTTTGTAGACACGGACGTGGAGGGCACTCAGCAAGGTCTCAGCGCACTAGTGGAAGTAGCGACAGCAACACCACTTGTATCTACTGAGTGCTGCCGTGGTCCATCAGATGCTGTGCTGTTAACTCAGAGGCCACACCTCTGCAGGGTCAGGTCCAACAACGGCTCCACAGGACCGAGATGAGCAGTCCCCTGTGTCATGTACAACCTCTGAAAATCCCCAGGAGGGTCAGCAATGGTATATCCGATCCCACAGCAATGACCTTGACTTTTAACTTAGTCTCTAGCAAGTTCCACTGCTAACCCAGAGGCTGTGTGTCTCCATGGGTTCAAATCCACCAGTCGCTCTGCGGGAGAAAGATGGGTGGTCTCCTCCATTAAATTTACCATCTCAGAAACTTGTTGGAGGGTTGCTATGGGTTGAAACTAATTCCAATGAGTTTACAGTTTTGTGGGTTGTTTTTTTATTGTTGTCCTGTATGCCAGGGAGCCCTTGTGGCATAGTAGTTAAAACATGAGGCTGCTAACTGAAAGGTCAGCAGTTTGAACTCACTGTGCCAGTTGTTTCTGTAAAGATTTCCATCTTTAGAAACCTAGAGAGGAGTTCCACCCTGTCTTGTAGGGTCACTGGGTCAGAATTGATAGTGATGGCAACAGGTTTGGTTTGGGGTTTTACATTGCTTAATTGTTAATCCGTACAGCACCATGAGGGGGCACTGTTTCACCCCATTTTGCCAGCAAGGACGCTGAGACAGAAATGATTGCTTAGTGGCAGAACCAGTATTCAAATTAGGGCCTGCAATCTGGCTCCAGAGTCCAAACTCATAATTACTGTATTGTACTGTTCACTCGATAATAGTTTGTTTATCTTCTGAGTAATTCTCTGTGGAACTTTTGTTTCTTCTTTCTCTGATACACCATCCCTAATAACCTGATCCCTTATATCAATCAAACAAAAACAAAATAAAAAAATTCAACCCCATTATTGTCCTCATGTCAATTCCAACTTTCTTTATAGAAAATTCTAAGGATCTTGAAAGTGAAAGGTCACAAGTGGACATTCATTGAGACACACACAGATTGCTATTTGTGTGAGAGTCTAATATGTGCCTCTTCAGCCTCCTCTATTTAGTCTCACCTCTGCCACAAGATGGCTCTAAGGCTTGGGGATCCCAGAGCACAAAGCCAATACTGATTTCTTTGTTTCTTTCTTGTCTTCTTGCACATCTTACCTCACAAAATGTGGATTATCCAGCATTTTTCATAGAAAAGGTCCTTACTGGTCCCCCACACCTTTAATAGGATAAGAGAATTAAACAGAAGCACAGAGACTGTTGACTCACTCACACTAGCTGGTTTATCAGCACCCTTCCCCTGCTCTGATGTCCTCTGTGCAGACCTAGATCCAGGTCTGACCTAGGCTGCCTACTGACCCCAAACACTTCATGGATATTTGATTCATCAAAGTCTCTGGTTGGTTTGTACAGTGGACTTTTGTCGATCTATTATTGATTATTCAT